AGTTTTATTTTGAAGAATTCAATGCCTTTTAAGACTTTTTATGGACCCGCGGGAACCCTGGGTTAAAGTAAACACTTTCATTCCTTTAATTCTGTAGATTCTGGCTAAATCATGACCAAAATACAAAGTTAGTGAGTCAGGAAATTAGAATATGACATAAAACCAGTAAATAATGAATAAGCTACATTCGTACAGCAGAGTTTGCATGGATGCGATCAGCCTGCGGTTCTACCGCAGAGTTCTGGCAGCCCAGCTTGCTTTGGTAGCGGCATTTAGCTCATCTGCATTGATGGTTTTGGTGCCTTTCATGTTCCTCTTGAATCCAGAGATTCTTTATGAGGTTCATTTCAAAACAGAACCACTTTGGTCACAGAAACAGGTTGTTGGTACCTTTGGGAGTGATGGTCGGTACCGAGGAATCATCTGGAGACAATTTTATGAAGAATTCCTCAACATGAAGGATATTTTTGACCAAACAGAGCATTTGGTGAGACTGTTTAGCCCCAACAATCTTTAGTGAATAGTGAGAGGCTTCTCTTCTTCTTCCTTCCTGCCTACAGATATTAATATCTGGAACAACTGGCTGGAAAAAAACCTGGAAAAACTACAACATTCCCTTCAAGATTCATATAGTTGAATTTAATTTAAAATTAAATGCAGTTTCAGAGGAGAAATTAGCACCACAGTGGGGGAAAATCAATGCGCAGCAGGAGCTGAATATTCGCCTGGTAACAGTTTAACATTTCTCAGATTAAGGTCAAAATTGGATCAAAGGTTACGTGGTGTTGCTTTAAGGTGTTTTTGTCGCAACTCTTTCAGGGCGTCATTGAAAGTTATCAGCAGGCTGAATGACTTGGTGATTCCTCCTGGGATTTCAGTTCTCAGCCTCATTCTTTTTTTGACCTTTTAACGGCACTAGTGGCTCGTTTTTTCGACACTAGGCTGACAGGAAATGGAATGAGAGAGGGGGAGAGGCATGCGGCAAAGGACCACAGGTCGGATTTCGAACCCGGGTCGGCAGCGTCGAGGACTAAAGGCCAATTTATGCTTCTGCCGCATAGCCTCTGCATCCCTCAAATCTGTCACCTTAAAAAAACATCCTGGCTATGCGTCGGACAGTCACAAACCCACACAGACCTCAAGCGGAAGTGCTCAGACAAAAAGCTGCTGTGATTGGTCCTTGGTATGCCTTTCTGGCTGTCCTTCTCGATTCGTTGCCAGGGCGTGCCATTTTTAAAAAACCGAGGAACAACTACAATGGACAACGACGACGAAAGGTTAATCGGTCTTTTTGCCAACTCCATTAACAGAACCTGTTCCTCTTCGATGTCTAGCAACTCTAGATCCATCTCCGTGACCATGATACCTTGCAGACACACCATTGTTGTTTTGGAAGATAAACACTCCCGCCGTCGCCGCCGAAGTTCTCGCGACCATCCGCCGAAATTCTTGCGAGTTCTCGAATAGGCTCCCCCTTGCGCTTTGGTGGGAAACTGCAGTGCTCTCCTAGAAATTCCAGACCGACATTGCAGAAGCATACCAGCAGAACTGGTTTGCAACCAGACCCAAGTGACATTTGATGTGTGCGGTTGCAGAAGTCTAATCTGTCCTTTAGGCCTCCCTCCATACATGGGTCATGCGCGCTAACCGCTGCGCCACCTGCACACAACTCACCCTCATTTTTAACATCAGGTTCTGTGTGTCTGATGGAGCATCATCAATTAAACACAGTTTATTTTCATGGATCAAACAACAGGCACAGAGATCATTGTTGCACGAGGTCTTCATGAACTTTCATCAATGTAAAGCAGAAGAAAGCCTGATCAGATTGAAGTGTGAGCGAGGGCTGAGAGGTGATAGGACCTACCCGCTTATGGAAGAGCTTCCTGATGAAAGGCTTCCAAAAATGCTCTTTGACTCCTTTAGCCTCTAACACCAGGCCATCATGTAGCTCACAGAGCTGCTGGACAAAACAGAAAGGACCTGCAGACGGCCTGAAATCCTTGTTTGTGAAGTCCTCTGGGAGACCTGAGGATGCAGGAAGCAGAGGGAGTTTAGAGGAGACTGAAACCAGAACCAGACAGGGCAAACTGGGCTCAAAGAGCGTTTCTAATCATATTAGGATAAGTGGTTGGGATCATTTTCCTGAAGGAACAAGCTAAAATCTTCAACACAGACTGAAGACCTATATAATTTAAGGTGAAACCATTAAGCCATGAAGGGTGCAGCAGTTTCCAGGCTGAAGGTTCAGATACAGCAAACTGAGGGTCCAGATACGGAGGCAGGTCTGCAGACTACAGGAAACCAAGGAGCAACAGGAAGTGAGGGCGAAGCAGATAGACTATGCTGCAGGCTTTCAATGAATCAGTCGGCTGGAATCCGCTCGCTTTTGCTTTATTTATGTGTTAAATTAAACACAGAACGATAAGCAGACTTCCTGAACTGAAGCGCAGATTTTAGTTTATGAGCTTTCAAAGTCATATTTCACATCATAGGGAGCAAACCCATCTGAACTCTGAGCCCAGTAGTGGTTTTAGGTTGAAATGATCAGATATTCATTCAAAAATCATCCTTAAACTGCCAACGTCTGCAGCTTAAAGAAATCTTTCATTCTTCAGTTAACAAACAGAATATACTGTAATACAGTTTTGCTGTACATCAACTGACTTTCATTTTATAAAATTTTTTTTAAAGCTATTATTTTATAAGAAGCTTTGATGTAAATGAAACAAATTTTCCTTTTTCCAAGGATAAGTTTATTGTGGTTTCTTATGATTTCCAAACAACCATAAAACATCACCTTCTTCATTATTTTTATTACGATAACAATTATTAACTGTAGGATCAGGTATTAGCTCACATCTTTTTTCAAAGGAGCCATAACCTGGTATTACGTTACTTTTAAAAAAAATTCATTTTCGAACTAATTTCAGGAAAAGAAAATCGAATCAATCCCATTCAGACCCCATTTCATTCTCCCTTTTTTATTCACAAAGGAACAAAGAAAACTTGACTTGTGTGGCTGTGCTTTAATTGTATGGTGTTAGCAACATTAGCAGTTAGCCATGGTTGGTTTACCATTGTTTCCTGGTCTCTGATAAAAAGTTAAAAAACTTAACAATCAGCAACACTAATGATGCTAATGTTAGTATGGTAATAGCAAGGTGGGCTAATGTAAGCGCAGTAGTCACTACCCAATCCATCTCGGAACCATGATCCGTTCTGCACATGTGCCATCAGCTCATTTGCGCATCCAGATCTATATCCGGGTCGCCCTCAATTTTATTTAGTAAAAAAATACTTAAATGACATTTTCCCTCCACAAAAATAGTAAACATACTAAAATATAATGTGTTAACAATCAATAATGTATTTCCTGACAAAAAAAGATGACTTAAAATTCTGTTTTATCACTCGTCTCTGGCCGATCTGCACTGGAAATGGGATCCTACGCTACTTCCGGTCGCTAACTTTTTTGGCTTCGGATTTAAACATAAATCTAGCCTTGTTGAGTTTTATGTTTTCATTTCTTTTTTAACCTTATGCTATATATTGCGTAATATAACGAAAGAAACAACTAAAACGCAGATAAACATGGTAAATATAATAATGCAGATAAACATGCAGATAAATATAAACATGCATAAATGCCTGAATATAAACATGCAGATAAACATGATAAATCATGGTTTGTCGGACTGCTCTGAGCATGTCTGATGATGACGTCAGAGAAGCAGTTTTTAACAAAGAAAATGTAAAAAGGATCTTTGTCTCAAAAAAGTAATACAACTTTTTTTAAAGATGTGTTTTAGCATTATCTAGAGAGTTAAGGATAGAAATAAGTAATTTTAGTGCCATAATTACATTATTTATGGACACCCGGATGTAGATCTATTTGCACATGCGTAGGACAGATCGTGCCTCCAGGACGGATCGGGTAGTGACAACGCAGTCTAATGGTGATAGCAAGGCGAGCTAATGTTAGAATGGTGATAGCAAGAAGGGCTAACGTAAGAATGGGTGTCACTGACCAATCCATACCGGAATCATGATCCGTACCATTTGCACATGTGCAAGCAGATATTTATCCCAGTCGCCATAAATAGTGTAATCATGGTACTAAAAGTACTTATTTTTATCACTAAATTACTAATAAATGACTTAAGCGTACAAATCTTTAAAAAAAAATTTCTCTGTTAAACAGCTTGTCTGACGTCATCATTAGACATGGTCAGAGTAGTCCGGCAAAATATCATTAAGCCATATTTATCTTTTTCTTAAAGTTATTTCTTTCTTTAGATTACGGACTATATACCATGAGGTTAACACAAAAGAAAAAAACATATATAACTCAACAAGACTAGATTTATGTTTGAATCCAAAGCCGAAAAAGTTAGCTCCCAGAAGTAGCGTAGGATCCCATTTCCGGTGCAGATCGGGCACAGAAGAATGATAAAAACAGGAAATAAATGATTAACCTTTAACACGTTATAGTTTAGTGCATTTACTATTTTTATGGAGGGAAAAGTGTAATTTAGGTCTTTTTTACAAATTAAAAAAGGGTGACCCAAATGTATATCTGGCTGCACGTGCAGAATGGTATGCAGAAATGAGCTGATGGTATGGATCGTGCCGCCGGTACAGATCGGGTAGTGACAATGGTGACAGCAAGGCAGGTTAATGTTAGTTTTTAATGTTAATGTTTTGTCTAATTGTCAGTTTGCTTTTCTTATTGGAGATTTATCTAAAAATGTTAGTAAATGTTAGTTTCCTGGAATGTCTATCACCTCCTATAAGTAGACTCTGATTGGGACCAAATTCGGGGGCTGCATCCTTCGAAGGACTCGTTCTATGCAGACTACATCTAAACTTGGACACAGCTTCCAATTTCACCAAACTTTTAGCCAAATTTTCTCCCTCTTTATGTTTTATTCTAATTTATTCTCACTTTATATCTGCCCTGGTTAGAAAACCCCCTGAGTGAAAGTTGTTGTAGATGTCAGCTCCAAACCTCATGCTTCAAAGAATTTCCATGCTTTACCTTTAAACTCAGGGTTGAGCAGTTCTTTCCTGGCGTTGCACAGCAGTGCGTTGGTGAGGACGAGGTCGAAGGCACACAGCAGCAGGTGGTACGAGTTGACCAGGTCGTCGCTGATCATGGGGAAGTTCCCTGAATAGGAAACAAGCAACAACATGAAATAACATGAGGTAAAAATGCTGTCTGCAGGCTAAGTTGGCACTGCTGACCATCACAGAAACACTGCCAAGCCTCAAGGGATGTGCTCAGACTCGTCTCTGGAGAGGAGCAGGAGAAGTGTGGGGGAGTTTCTTTACCTTTAGCGTGAACGAACAGCACCCAGCAGAAGTTGAAGACTTCGGTCACAGTGCAGGGATGGCGCCTGGTAAACAGAAATAGGAGAGGATTAAATGTAAACCTGAAACCAGACCGATATACATATCAAGGGAAAAGTGAAGGAAAAACACAGTGTGGTCGAGAGTTAAAACACATCAGGGTTTATTAGGGTGCGCATCATTCTGGTTCTGCTGGAGGTTTCTTCCTGTTAAAAGAGCATTTTTCCTCTCCACTGTCGCTACAAGCATGCTAAGTGGGAGGGATTGCCTTTGATTCAATGAGTCGATGCAATCAACTGGTTTTCCTTAGATAGAAAACTTTGAATTAATTAAGACTGTTGACTTGACATGACATATGTTGTGAATTGGCGCTATATAAATAAACGGAATTGAATTGAACTCAGACTCCTTTTCTTCTCACAGTTCTGTCTCTTCACTGTTTATAGTCCCCAAAAGCAGTTGGTGACCTTTGTTTTAAACAGGCTTTTAGTCAGGTAAGGTAATACTGCCTTCTGTTTTCTTGCTTTTATTGCAATAATATATTTTTTTTCTATTTTATATTAAACTGTAAGACACTTCATAATATATAATTTAAATATAATTTACATTCTGAATCATTGGGAGACATGTTTACACTGATGTGGAAATGGAATGTTTAGAGAGAATATTTCAGGGTCACATGATGACTGGGAAAAGCTAGACAAAAATCATTGAACTGTAACAGAGGAGAGGTCAAAGGTCACAGGGTCCCACCTCTGTTTTCGGCTGCGGTGAACCCGCGCTGGCTCCTCCGATGGGGCCTTGAAGATGGATTTGAAGATGGGGACGTACTTCTTGAAGATGACGGCCGACACGGTGAAGTTCCGCTCCAACTTGTCCGTGCTCCGGCGGAAGTCCTGTGGCAGGTTGGCCATGTCCTGCCACTTCTTCAGCTTGCTGAAGAACTCGATCAGGCTGGAGGAGAATCGCTCTGATCAGATCCAAGAGGCTGTGTTTAAGCTTTGATAAATCTCACAAACAAACAAACCTCATTTCTGAGCAGCGCAGGATCCTGGTCAGGGAGACGTAGTTCCCCTCAGCGGTACCTTTCCCTACAGTCGGCACTGAAGACCTGCAGGCCACGTACAGGGCACAGGCCAGCCAGTGCAGCTCGCTGCCCTGCACCCAGAGAACACCTGGTTATCATCAGCGTTATTGGCTCCGAAGACATGTGGGTAAGAGTCATCTTAAGTTAGAAAGACATGAAACTGTGCTAGTCTGTGCAGGGTCTACAGATAAAAACATGCTGTACCTTCTTAGTTTCAGTCCAGATGTTGCAAATATTATTATTATTTTTTTTTAAGTTGCCTTCTTCCCTAATTATTTCCTTCTAGATCCACAAATCCTGATCTGAAGTTTTTACAATGTGATAGCAGCCTGGAGGTTTAAACAGAGATTTTATGGTCCATTTTCCACCCAAAGTGAATTTCAGAAGATGACTTTGGGTTTTCTAGGAGCTTTTAATCGCTCAGTTTGCTACATCCTTTTCTGCTCAAGCAACCCTGAGTCACAACCTTCAGAAACAAACTAAATCTTTACAATCAAACATCTATGGAGCAAAACTCAGCCCCTATTATGTGAAATAAACACAGGAACAAATAAAAACCAGAATGTCATCATTGTGTTCAACGGGAATTACACATTAGAGATCAAACAGAAATATATGAGCAGAATATCTCCTCATTAAACCGCGCAGTGGACATGTTTTTAAGTATGTTTGTAATTAATCAATCATAAAGGGTAAAAATGTATTGTTAATCATTATTTGTAATAGTATTAATAACAATAATACAACAGTAATATTCTGAAGTTATGTTACTGTTATTAAGTTGAGTTTTAAGATAAATAAAAGCCAGAAAGGAACATTTTAAACATAATGTAATGACATTGCTTCTCCCTAAGTACAAAAATGATTCGTCGACGTGAACATACACCACGGGTTATAAAACATCCCAAAATACTTAACACAAACCGGAGAGTTTATCAGTCTTTAAAAACCTTGCCACTCACAATATGGCGGACCAACTGACAGCCCTAGCAGCTCTGTGTTCGGCGGGCCCAAAAAGGCTCACCTGCTCTGTGTCGGCTGCTTACCTCCAGAGTGAAGTTCCTGCTGATGTTCTCGTAGCTCCTCCATGCTTCGGTACTCGCCTCTTCGTCCATGTTCAAGGCTCGGCACAGTTCATCGAACCTGGTTCGGGCTTTCTGCATAAAGTCCTCTTCGTCGCTCATTTTCACAGATCTGCGGTAAAACCCGAGCGGTTTTGACGCAGAGGTAAGGTCCCGCGTGCAGACCGGTACGCTGTTTGCCTGAATAAATGCGTTATTACGGAGCTCCACTGTTTCACGCTGTGGCCATTTAAATGTCCTCTCACACAAACAGGAACCCAAACGCTGTTGACGTAGGGTCCACTGCCACAACACCGAGAACGTCAAATCTGGGCGTATCGGAATTGGAGAATAGCGTGAAGGGCGTATTTTTACCCCAGCCCACTAAAGTTGCGTAGAAATGCCGACTACTACTACTTCCGGTTGTTTTTGTTTTCTCTGACGGCTGTTTTCCCGGAAATCCGTTAAAAAACCGTCAATTTTTGGTTCTAAAAGGATGAAGTTTGTCCATTATGTGATTATTACAGGGTAACCAAGTGTCAAAAGGCAGGTCAGGGTTCAGCTGTAATATCGGCTGAGTTTAAACACTAAAATACCGACTTCAGTTAAAAAAAAAAACTATACACAGAAAAAGAAAAGGCAGCCTTCTCTTCTTCCCGTTATTCCTTGTATTTAGGACTTATTAGCTACAAGCCTATGATGAAAATATATCTCCACTTTAGTGTTGCGTTTAATCTTTATACCCTTAAAGGCAAAAATAAGAGGCAAAAGAAAACAGCACAACCTTGGTTATTTTGTCATCCCACCCATGCTGGGTTTGGACCCAAGAGTGTTAAATAATATTGTTCACTTGAAAAAAGTGAGGTTAAAGCAACAATTTAATGCAAAAAGCAAAACTCAACATCTCCTGTTTTGGTTAAATAGAATATAATGCCCAGTCTACATCTGGAAATAAAGGCAGACTGCTTCTTTCAGATGTGCCTCAAACAGGATTTCAGGTATCTTAAAGATACATGTGCATTTATTAAAAAAAATGCACATGCACAACCCTGTACCCGCTCTCCAGAGGGAACTATTAAAAATTTGCGAGAGCATGCACATTCTTACTTACTCTGTAAGTAAGAATGGGGAGCACGTAGGACAGCCATACGTAAACATATAACCAGAATTACTGACAATTAGGAGGACCACTTATTTTGATGATCCACCCAGAAAAAGAACATTCTCAACTATTCCTTTAAGCAGAAGACTGAATATATTTGGACCTGTCTGCAGGTATTATTGCTAAGGTCTGGTGATGGTGAAGGAGAGGAGCTAGAAGTTCAACCTTTAAAGCACCATTTAAACCCTTTATCACTGGCCCTGGGACTCTGGGTCATCACTAAAAGAACAAGATCCTGGACTAGAAACTAGACCTTCTGAAACTCTACGCCCCCGAAAAAACCCAAAAATGGTTTAACTGATAAGGGCAGCTCTCTTTGGGGTTTTTATTGGATCCCTAGATCCATTCTGGTTAGGGACAGCAGTTTCTTTTCTGACCTGTTCTCTCTTTGACATGATCTGACCTAGGAAAACTGCTAGAAGATAGATACAGTAGAATGCATTCTTCCCTAAATATAAGCTTAATTTATAAATGACTATAAGATGTTCCATTAGTGCCAATAATATGTATATGTGTGTATGTACATGCTTGATTTGATTTATAATTTTGAAAGGAGACAGTGCAGTTTAATAAAAGACGTCATAAAAATGTATCAGTTAAGACATAATTTTATATTAAATCGCTTTATGGAGAACTTTTCTCAGTCAACATCTGGTGTTCTTTAAGTTAACAAGCTAGGGGCTTTATAATGTTTCTTATGCCCCACCCTACCTGAAACAATTAAGATAAATTGAATTAAATTAAACAGAGATCATAAATCTCCTATCTTAGTTTGTCTTCATTGGCTTCCTGTTAAATCCAGAATATAGTTTAAAATCTTCCTTCTCTCATATAAAGCCCTAAATAACCAAGCTCCATCTAATATCACTCTTAATCTGCAGGTTTACTAGTGGTTCCTAGAATTTCTAAAAGTAAAATGAGAGGCAGATCTTTTAGTTATCAGGCTCCTCTCCTGTGGAACCAACTACCAGTTTTAGTCCGTGAGGCAGACACCCTGTCTACTTTCAAGGCTAGGCTTAAAACTTTCCTTTTTGATAAAGCTTATAGTTAGAGTGGCTCAGGTTATCCTGAGCTATCTCTATAGTTATGCTGCTATAGGCTTAGACTGCTGGAGGACATAGGGACCCCTTTTCATCATTCTAAGTCTATCTCTATTCTTCCATTTTGCAGTATTTGTAAGTTCAATCCACAACGTTCTGCTCTCTCTGCTTTTTCTCATAGTAGCTTCATCTGGTCTGTTCCTGTTTGACTATGACACCATCCTGGAAAGAAATATTAGCTGTGGTGCTGCCATCTACACCTTAGATTATAGATGATAGAGTTGGACTTGTTTTAGCGAGTTTGGTCCTATGTCTCTCCTGGATCTAGCTACTGTATGGGCTCAGCTTCTACTGGGACTACCTAGATGTTCTCTCTTTCATCCCATTGACATCAAAAGTGGTTCAGAACTCGTCTGCTTACTATTTCTTTTCCACACAGAGCCACATGTGGAGCTAGTTTACTGTTAGATTTTTTTAACATAGAAAGTCTTTATATATCAGTGCTTATATGCTCATTGTGTATGTCTAGGTCGCTCTCCTTGAACCCCGAGTCAGCCTTGGCCTCAACAAAATGCAAGTGAATATCTACTGTCTCTAGCTGCCCATCCAGGAGAATAGGATCCTGTAAAATCAAAAACAAGATGCAATCAGCTTGTTTTACTTAGACAGAAGCTTTAAACCTTTAATCTGACTGGATGGTCTGATTGAACTGGATCTATAAAGTGAAATTAGATTAAATGTGTTGTGAATAGGGGCTATAGAAATAAACTGAAATTGAAATTGAGAAATTAGTGTGGTTTGTTTAGTGGAATCCATACAAAAGCCTGAGCTTTATAAAAGGTGTTGCAATAATTTTCAACTACAGCGTCTGAGGTGGGAGGAAGTGTGTGGTGGTTGGGGGGGTTGCAGCATCAGAGCAATGGGTCGTACCACCTGCATGGAAAGCTGCTCCTTCTATACTTTGTTTTCTCCATATCTTTTGTCTGTGTTCTATTTCTGTGAATTTCGAGCTAAGCTCCTTGAAAAATGTAATTTTGGGTTCATAATGAAAATAAAGATTTGTTTTTTTTGACATAACATTCAGTAGTGTTTCGCGTCTTGGTCGTCAAGGCACACGGCCCTGCATGTTTTAGATATTTCCCAATTTTTACACATGTGGTATCAATTTATAGCAGGTTAATAAGCTTTGTTGACCGAAATTGGGTCATTTACAGTTCAATAATACAGAATACTGTTGATGACCAGTGGAGCGTGGTGAGGCAGATTTTTCCTTAAAGGAATAGTACACCCAAAACATGATTAGCCTTCATTTTCTACTCACCCCCATGCTGAACAACACTCTGGAGTACTTTTTTGATATCTCAAATGCATCTGGAGATCTGGGAGGCTTCTTGCTGTCTGCTGACATTCAAATAATGGAGGTCTATGGCGCCCGAGACAGAAAGGTCCATAAAAGTCCACAAAAAACGTGTCAATATTCCTCCATACTGCTCGTCCAATGTATTCCAAGTGTCCTGAGTGGGTAGCGTCCATAATTTACTCGAAACGAAGTCATTTAGAATGTTTTTAGAGCATAAACAGTAGTGTATAGGATTTCCTGAAAGCGCGTTCACGAGTCTACGGAAACCGCGGCAGACCAAACCAGATGAAAGTGCGCATTCAGCTCGGCAAAGAACTCATGCTCTTCCTCAACACTGAAGTCCTCAGACATTTTTCTTTCGTTGTTTCTTTCTTTGCACAGGTAAACAGCACATTTCTTCTTCTATGCTTGCATTATCGGCAGAGCAGACGCTGAATGCGCACTTTCATCTGGTTTGGTCTGCCGGCTTCCGTAGACTCGTGAACGCGCTTTCAGGAAATCCTATACACTACTGTTTATGCTCTAAAAACATTCTAAATGACTTCGTTTCGAGCAAATTCTGGACGCTACCCACTCAGGACACTTGGAATACATTGGACGAGCAGTATGGAGGAATATTGACACGTTTTTTGTGGACTTTTATGGACCTTTCTGCCTCGGGCACCATAGACCTCCATTATTTGAATGTCAGCAGACAGCAAGAAGCCTCCCAGATCTCCAGATGCATTTGAGATATCAAAAAAGTACTCCAGAGTGTTGTTCAGCATGGGGGTGAGTAGAAAATGAAGGCTAATCATGTTTTGGGTGTACTATTCCTTTAAGTCTAGATTATCTAATCATATTAAATAAAGATTATCTCCTTGGTCTTCTCCACGTTCAGGATCAGGCTGTGATCTCTGCACCAGTCCACCAGCTGCTCCTCCTCCTCTCTGTAGTCCAGGTCGTTGTCGTCTCTGATGAGGTCCACCACCGTGGTGTCGTCTGCAAACTTCACAATGTGATGGGTGGTGAAACTGGGAACGCAGTCGTGTGTCATCAGGGTGAACAGCAGGGGGCTCAAGACGCAGCCCTGACTGAGTCTGTGCTTAAGGTGATGACATCAGAGGTGTTCTGTCCGACCCGGACTGACTGAGGTCTGTTGGTGAGGAAGTCTAGCAGCCAATTGCAGAGGGGTGTACTGAAGCCCAGCTGTTCCAGCTTACCTATCAGATGCTGTGGGATGATGGTGTTGAAAGATGAACTGAAGTCCAGGAACAGCATCCGCCCTTGGGTGTTCTTCTCCTCCAGGTGTGCCAGGCTCAGGTGGAGAGCAGAGGAGAGGGCTTCCTCAGTGGAGCAGTTCCGTCGGTAGGCAAACTGTCTCTTCCTAGGGCCCCAAATTTCCTAAATCCGCCCATGTTTTCATCTCATCTTAAGGATATTTCAGAAACCTCCATTCCTTTATTTTAAATTCCTTTCTTGATGGTTTATTATCAATCTCTTGCTCTGTTGTTAAACAGAATCATCAATCTTATTATAAAATTCTAAAAAGGAGCTTGTTTTATGTTGATTATTGCAGCTCATTAACAAAAAACCTCTGAATGTGACCAAAACAGAGACCATCAGTAGGTTTTTGGTTGATTCATTATTTGATTGGATGTTTGTGCCACAGCCTGTGGCTTAAAGGGAGGTGCTCTTTAAAGGTGGAGCTTCACCAGCAGAGTGGTCTACAGCGCTGAGCCTCCCTGGTCTGCAGGGGGCGTCCCTCTATGCACAGTTGGCAGCTGAAGTCTCTGAGCTCTTGCTGAATTCTGTGTTTCTGCAGAGAGGGTTGTTTTACTTTTACACAGGTTGATTGGATCCCTCAACATTAATGACCCCAAAGAACTGGATCCAGTTCTGCTAAAACAGGAAGCTGCATTTTTCTGCAGGAAGACTGGACCCTGTAGCTGATTAAATCAGTAAGAGTTTAACCCCTGATCTTCTTTGTTTTCTAAGGTTGGAAGATCAGATCTCCTAACTTCTCAGAGCTACA